GGCGTAGGGGCCCGCCTTCGCAGACAGCCACGCCGCGTAACGGGAAATCCATGTAGCGCAGCGTCAAATACATTTTGCCACCGTGTATTGGACGTGCCATGCGTGCCGCCCTCCGCGGCTGTGTTCTCCGGGTGATGCACAAATTGGTTCTAGATTTGCCTTTAATGGCACACTTGTCATACCGACACGATCACGCTCAAGCGCCAAAGTGGCGCGTCTGGATCTTGCGTCGATGCTTAGAAGATATGCGCGTACGGTACGATTGCTGCATGTTCTGCGTGGGTGCTGCACGAGTATGTGCAGTGGAGGGTAATCAAAAGGTTTTGAGAACAAGACCCTGAAAAATAATCCGTAATATTCGGCTAAATTTGAAGCTGCGATTGCTACATTATTTTAAGATGCTATTATAATAGAGTGGTGGTTGGTGGTGTTGTGGTGTTGCAATTGTTCGTGCACTATGCTATGAAACCGGCAACCTAAGTGAAATCCCCGGCCATGGCTAAGATAATTGGCAAGCGATATCCAAACCAGTGCCGACCTTTCCTTTACCAACCCACGCTTACCAGCCTGGTGAAGTATGGTCAAACACCCTCCACGCACGACTAACACGGGATCTTGTGCCCTTCATCCAGCAGTGGATTGACAAATAATAAGAAGTAGAATCAATACAAATGGGGATACAAATTAAAATGTAAACAATGCCCGTGGATATATTTATATTTAACACCGCTATTCTCGAACGGTTTCGACTAGTCCTTGCATAATGCGATGGGCAACAAACAAACATAACGTACAGGAACCGTTTTCAAAGTGGACATGAATGGTGCGAACGTTGCATTCGTAATGAGCAAATGGACTCGTCGAGAATCTTTATTTTTTATTTTACTGTCATTGTACAACGCTTGGCATGAAATATGCAGTGTGTAAAAGCGCAGTGTGTCTATAAATGTAAATTATTTCTGTACATTTAAAAACCCGAGGTTTCTGCTGCTTGTGAAATGAGGAACATCCGCCCGCGCGCTCGCAGCCACAGAAATCATTTCAATTGCGATACGCAAATCAGAATAATAAATTGCGATATGGCCATTCGTTCTGGCTTTTATAGCTCCAGAATCCGCACGGTATGTGAAACCTGAAATAATTTAATGGATATTGTTTGGAAAAATAGGGGAGATGGGCCACCGTTGAGGTGCGCGATAAATGAATAACAATGCATTATCGCAAGCCCGGAGCTTTATATTAACGTTTTCATTGTTAATGGCTCTACACACCGAAGGATTCTTATGAAATGCCATCAAGTGATACGTGCAACATACATCTGCGCGCTCTGTGGCCTGAGGACACTTTGGAAATGATACGCAACGTTCAACTGTTTATTTTATTTTATCGCCATTGAAATTGGGAGTCTTCTTCACTGGCAATCCCCTGGACCACTGCCACTGGCTCACAACCTTTGCTTCGACAAGCCCCTCGCACGCCCCGAGTGGCAGACGGGCACGTGCCCTGACAATCTTCGGTTGCCGCTTTTAATAACATCAGCACGTGGCAAAGTGTATGAATGAGAAGACGGCGACACGAGGTCATTTCGTTAATCCTTCAGATTTTTCCATCCTTCTCGCTCGGGCCGGTGAAGCCGGCACGACGTGGTCGTGGCGCTGTCAATCGCCCCCCGGAGCCTGCAGGGCTGGGCAGGCGTAAGCTATCCGTGCAAGTGCCAATCAGGGGGAAAATGGGTCGACCGCCGATCGGACGGGTGCAAGGTTGAGCCGGCAACGGCGGGGTTTCCGCGTGAGTGATTGCAGGGGGGGGGGGGGGTGGCCACCTCTCGGAGCCCTCAACGAAGCCGGCACGACGCAAACAGCTGGGGGAGCACACTGCTGGCTTGGCGGGATCGCCTGGCCACACGCAGACATTGTGTGATGATAGCCAGCGGGCGTAGCGATTCCGTGACCTCAACATCCTCGGCCAGCGTCGCTCCGGCTTGTCCCTCCAAATTCACATCTGTCCCCCTCCCCCCCAAACTGTAATATTCCTCCTCTTGCTTTTCCCTCTCTCCTGCCGAGTGGAATAATCTCCAAGGACCCAGCAGCACGTCCCGCTAATTTGGCAGCTGATGAGCAGTGCCTGGATTGGCTGGGGTTTTTTTTTAGCCGTGTGAGATGAAATGCACCTGACACCGAGCACCGAGATTTATTTATTTTTATGACAGACCACTCATAGGCGGAGGTCCCCTTGGCCCAACCTTCATTCGGACCCTATCAGGATGATGCTCACCTATTTTAGACTTTATAATGCGGCAGCGGACAAAGGCAGGAGACACGAGGAGGGGGTGGGAATGAGGTGACGGCAACGGCGAGAAGACAAAATAAGCATTTGCTTTATCAGTCGCTTTTCGGCAAACGGAACACCCTCGCCACTCCAGACAGAGAGCAATCCAAATTGCCTCAACTCCCCCCCCCACGCCCCCCTATTCCTTGCTGCGCTTTCCCAGAAAAGTGAAATACGGCCCTGGGGTTGAAAGCTGAACCTGGCGGGCCTGTGAGTGATGACGAGCAATCAGCGGTTTGATGGTAGATGACGCAGACAGCGGCCCATCAGTGGGAGACTGATGGATGGAGGCTGACAGGGAAAAGCCATTACTCACTTGCCTCCTCCACTGCTCGTGTGTGTTCTCTCTTGTGCCGTGAAACACACACCCCCGGTGCAACAGCGGCACAATTCCAACAGGCGCGCGGTACACCTCTCTCTCTCTCCACGTTTGCCGATGGGAGTGGGTTTTTTTTTTATCGCCGGTGATTGGTCACAGCCTTGTGGCGCCCTTGTATGCTCGGGAGGAGTTACGGTAATGATTATGATGACTTGCGGTGAATTTTATGCCTTTATTACGTTGGTGAAAAAAAAAATAACGCAATTGGCATTTCCAAGGTTATGAAGATAAGCCCGTAACTAGCCGCAGCGTCGTGAAATATGCCGCCGCGTTTTCAAATTGATAAGCACAGAAATTACGTTCCGTTCCGTTTGGCCATTAATATGCAGTTTAATATACAGAGTGAATTATACTCTATTTAAGAAACTCATTGAAATATTAATGATTTCTGTATGAGTTGCTATAAGGGGCCGTCCATAAATGACGTCACGCGATTTTGGATGATGTTTGACCCCCCCCCCTTTCTTCGTCACACGGCGTCACAAAAAGTCAGACCACCCCTCAAATATGACGTCACAAAGCTCTGCCCCCCCCCCCCCCCAAAAACCATATTTCCATTTTGCAAATAAAACATGCTTCAAATCGCTTTAAACTATTGTCATTGTCGTGCGTATTTAATGTGGCGCTGCCCTTTGATGTTGTAGGAGCTGTCGATGCACATGCGGTATGGGGTTGGAACAAGGGACTCATGCAAATCATCTCAAGCTTCGTATCTTGTTACGCCACCACCGTGGCCCATCTGCCACCTCTGTATTTGCCAGTATTCTGCAGTTATATACAAGCCAATGCGGCCCCATCTTGGTAAAATGACTGAAACACATCACCTTGGTGATTTGGGCCCATCATTGATGTTTGAAGGATCGGGACATTTTGGCAAAATAATTCTGATGGAAATTAACATTTTAAATCTTTGTACATTGACATTTCCATGCTTCACCTTTTTATCCTGGTTAAGAGGTGGCATGGTGTCGAGGTGTTGACTCCCTTGCCTGGTATATAGGAGGTCATGGGTTCGATCCTTATCCCGACCCTGACGCCCGTATTTTTGGAGTTTGCATGTTCGCCCCGTGGTCGCGTGGATTTTTCTCCATGTCCTCCCATTTTTCCCTCCACGTTCCGCAACGTGCGTTTAGAGTATTTGGCTTCTGAAAACAATCTATATAGCTCAGTGGGCCTTACCTGGTAAAATAAAAAACAAGTTTAGTTTCACTCGAGTTTTATTATTCCTGATCATGCTCTACTCGCATTCCTGTCCCAGGATATCTCCACGTCCATGTCCACTCCACAGTCCCTTCACATAGTGAACTGGCTCCCCACTTGGAATCGCCTCTTTCTAGGCCTCCCCTCTCGCTGTATTGCCCTGGCGCATGCATGCGACATGGACCTGATGGAGGATCGGTAAATGTAGAAAATCTGGACTGTGCTGGGACAGTGTAAGGGAGATGTTGATGTCATTCGGGAAGCTTTTGACTGCAAATTTAAACTAAAAGGCAGACGATACCTCGAGCAAATGCGGTTTATCCGCTTTTTTTTTAACACCTCTGCACTCCTATTTTGGAACGAGGCTTTTTTTCGCAATGGCTATTTATTATTCTGGCCCCCTTTCTTTTTCTTCCATGGCAAAAAACAAATTGAAAAGCGCGTATTATTATTTTTATTGTATATCCGAGGCAGCGCGCCCTCGCCGTGTTTATCCCAGCGGGGAGTTTACATTCGTCGTGACTTTAAAAGTTCCCTTCAAAATAACGAAGCAAAAAATAAGGCTGCTAGATGTTTTGATCAAGTTCTTTGTTGTTGCGTCCGTATTAAAAAGAAGAAAGAGAAAAAAAGCTGTGCGCGAACGCACGTGATGTGCATGTATATTCCACGATAAACTCCACAATTGCCAATCAGAAATGTATTTTCCCTTTTTTGAACCGACTTGGGCAATGTGTGGTGGAGCTCGGCAAAGGATTTTGTGCGCGTCCTCCCATTGCGTGGGTGACTCACTCCAGGTGTTATGACTGACTGGATCTGCTGCGGCGTGGGAGAAGAAATCCTTGAAGCCATCAAAGCACAATACGCCGTGTGCATGCTGCTTAGCTGGCACCGATTGCAATCTCAATTCCTGAACCTTGTCTCCACCATTTACCAACGCTGTCCTATTTTATCTTCACCTAAACTACTTGTCTGTCTGTCTCTTCCCCCCCCCCCCCCCACGTGTCTGTTTCTATTTCTCTGCGTGTCTCTCTCCCTCCGGTTCTCCCAACTCGCCCTCCAAATTACTCTGCACCGTAATTGGCTCCTTCCGAAGCCACCGTGATTTGAAGCCAGAAAATCTCCTCCTGGATGAGAAGAACAACATTCGGATCGCGGACTTTGGCATGGCGTCTCTACAGGTTGGCGACAACCTTCTGGAGACCAGCTGTGGGTAAGTGTGTGTGTCTGTGTGTGTCTGTGGGGAGTGATAGTGTAGCGGTTAGCGCGCTGCGCTATGAACCCGGCGACCCGAGTTCGATTCCCGCTCACGGCCAACACCAGTGGCGATTATCTGAACCGGTCCTGGGCCTCCCCTAGGTCGACTCAGCCTGAAATGAGTACCTGGTGCGGTGTGTAAACATCGCCACTAGGGAGACAAAGGCGGTCGGGCGTGGTGCTGGCCACCCACCCCCTCGTGTACCGTTGCAGCCTTCATAGGTGCTCGCTAACAGCACTTGCCCCTACAGTCTGTTAAGGCTATATGGGGGATCTTTGTTGCGTGCACGTGTAGGGGGGAGCGGTAGTGTAGCGGAGAGCGCCGCTGCGCTACGGACCCGGCAGCCCGAGTTCGATTCCCGCTCACGGCCAAAACCAACACTGGGCCTCCCCTAGGTCGACTCGGCCCAAAATGAGTACCTGGTGTGGTGTGTAAACATTGCTACTCGGGAGACAAAGGTAGTAGGGGGTTGTTGCTGGCCACCCACCCCCTTGTGTACCGTGCCGGCCTTCATAGGTGCTCACTAACAGCACATGCCCCAACAGTCTGTTGAGGCTACGCCGGGGATCTTCGTCTTTATATGCACGTGTGTGGTGAGCGGTGGCACAGTGGTTAGCACACTGTGCTACAACAAACCCAGCCGACGCGAGTTAGATTCCCAGCCACGGCTAACCTGAGTTTCAAGGGTCATCAGAACTTTTCCTAGACCTCCCATAAATTAAATTTGCCTTAAATGTGTACCTGGTGTTTGGCCACACCACCGCCCGTGTATCATGCCAACTTTAATATATGTTCACTAACAGCAATTGTAAGCTCAGTCTACATAGGTTATGGGTGGGATAGCGGGGTGTTTTGCGAGTGTGTCAAAGCGCGCGTGTGCGCGCGTGTGTGGTATTGGGAGTTCGTGAGTTCATGGATATGCATGCAAGCATCTGTGTGTGCCCAGATGCAGATGTACGGAAGGGGGTGATGGATAACCCCAAAACATTTCTGTATGTATGCATTGGTGTGCCTTATTAGAATTACACGTCGATAAATTTGGTATCAAAGGTCATTGGGATCACTCGTGTATCCCTCTGTAACTCTCATGGTGTGTATTTATTGCTTAACTGCTGAATATGCAAATTGTGTAGGGCTCTTAATTTTATTTTTTGGCCGAGAAGCCCATGTTTTGCTTTAAGCATATCTGTAAGCCCCACTGTGCCTTGACACTGAAGGGAAAAATGCATGTAATCACCGTGTGAGTGCGAGTATGTATATAGTCAATTGTATTGATTCTTCACCATGAGTTCCCTATCTACCCCGAGTGACAACTGTGTAGTTTGCATCTAATGGAGTGCTTTTTTATGACTGCACATTGTCTCAAATAGAATATGGCAATGGCAGGGTCTAATTTTTATTCTGAAATATTATCATTAGAGGTACACGATGGCAATTCAAAAAAGGACCATTAACAATAAGTGTATCTGATACGGAAATTGACATTACAGCCACCTGAAAACGTGGCATGAAAATGAATTGTGAGCACATTAATTCTAGATTTGAAACTTTCGTGACTGCAAGGATTCATACTCTTAGGTTTTTTCGGTAAAGTCACGTAGGTAAAAAAATAGAATTAAAATGAATCTTTACTTGATACAGCAATCGTGCTGTGACTGTTCCACCTGAAGACGGAAGCTTGTGTTGCCTCCGAAACGTCGTGATTTTTTTTTACTTTTAATAATTTTAATTTTATTTTTTACCTACGTAACTTTACCGAAAAAACCTAAGAGTATGTGAGCATATTGTGTTGGAATCATGACACCTCACAATGTGGATTCACGTGGCATCAAAATGCAACTCTCGCTCAAGATGCCGCACAAAGTAGTGAGACGTGTCCAAAAGGTAGTTTTTTTACGTGTGTTTTTTTTAAGTGTGGTGTGATTGAAATCACTTCATAAATTGGGGGTGAGGGGGGGGGAGAAGAGCAAAGCCTTGAGCTTGCACTTGAACGGAGGCAGGGAGTTGGCAGAACAGACGCCTGGGGAAAGAGAACCTCGAAGCAAGAGAACGCCAGCGGAGAAGGAGTGACCTTCCATTGAACAGATGTCGGAAGGCCTCAAGGATTTTTGTCACGTGACTAATGTGTGTCTCGTTCCACAGCTCCCCGCACTACGCCTGCCCCGAAGTCATACGAGTGAGTCCACTTGACCATGTGATAACACACGAGTTAAATACTTGCAATGTAACGGAGCACACAGACAGCAAGGAGCAAAGCTGTCAGGAATTTAAACACCGCTTCACCCAACTGCCGAAACTTTCCTGCTCGCACTGGAAGATTTATCTTTATTAACTTTTCACACCGGCACCGTGAAACCGAACGTATGCCTATAATTACACTTTCAATAAATATTAATTAAAACAGCGCCGAGCTCTTTGTTTAGCAATGTAGACAGCACTTTTGTATTCCGTGAGTAGCGCAGCCCGAAGTTTGGGCCCATCCTCGCGCTCGCTCACGGCATCTCCGCTCTTCTGCCAGGGAGAGAAATACGATGGGAGGAAGGCTGACGTTTGGAGCTGCGGAGTCATCCTCTTCGCACTCCTGGTGGTAAGCACCCACCCGTGGCAGCTGGCCGACGCCAAAATCCGTTTACACAGAGTCACATTGAGCTGCAGCCGCATCCAACTTGCTTTGCTGCAAAGCGGATGTTAGATTGTCTGTGCGTGCTTGTGCGTTTCTTTTTTAGTTTTGCCTTCGCCCCCCCACCCCTCCTCACTTGGCTGAGCACCATTGTATCCTGTTCTTCCTGGGTGCTTTTGATCCTGCCACAAACACGAGACTTGAAAGGGAGCGGATGTTTTTATAGCGCCACGCGAGCGGCAATGGATCCAACCTTCCCGGAAGCTTTAGTAGCTGTGGCAGCTGTCGTGCAAGCGATCCTTGCTCAAAGCAATTGGACTCTGTGCTATTTTTTGACCCTCCCGCTTTCATTTCTCAAAGATGCAAAGGAAAGTTGCCCAGGGGTAGGGCAAGGCGATTTGCGCGTAAATACCGACGCACGGACAACGGGACCCCTCCCGCCGCCGGTATATCTACGCCGGCCGTTGTATAATGAATACGGGGATGCGGGATAATTGAGCTCGAAATTAAAAAAGAACAAATGAATGTCAAATGCAGGAGAGATGCGTTTGAAGTAGCAAATAGCAACGCCAGGGGAGAAGGAGTGAGTAAATAAAGCGGAAAGATCATTCCCTCCTCGGGGGAATAAATAAAAGAAGGGAATAAAATAAAATCACAGAGCCGCAGAAAGGAAGCACACGGCGCGTGGCTAAACATAGCACGGAGGATCTGTGGCACGAGATGTTGCGGATTAGTGGTTGAGGGCCCCGCAGAGGAAGCGGTGGGTGTTGGTGTTGTTGATGTTGTTGATGCCGGGGGGGGGGGGGGTGTGGATGGAGTGGAGGGCCTCAGTGTTGGTCCCCTCGGGCTGCCCCCATCGCCCGTTGCCCTGCGGCCCTCCGCCCACCTCTACAGCGGCATCGGCGGCGCATCCCTGTGATTCGAGGAACCGAGGGGGCTGCTGCCTCGCTTCGTGAGGATTAATCACGCGCCGAGCGCTGCGTCGGTGCATCCGTCGCTCCGCAGCGACATCAGAGGGCTCCTGAATAATTAAAACTTTGACAAGATTAGCTGCCTGGGGAATTACACGTGTTTCCGTGTGTGCGGCTTATTTGGTCTACCTCCATCATGGCCCACGTTGCATCGTGTGAAGTTTCCCTCGCTTCTCTGCCCCATTTACATGTGTGTCCATGTTGTGCTGTGTGCAAAATAATGCATGCGTGTTGGCCTCCGGAGTTCGGCGAATATATGGTGTCTCTGTGATGTGCATGGGAACTTTTCTTAAATCTTGCAGCCTCTGTCCATCATCCAGCAGTGCAAAATGAATACACCACATTTTGTCAATTTATCAGGTTAGCTTGTGGTGGGGTAAAGTGGTTTGATGCTCCCACCTCTTCCAAGACATCTGGCCAGTGTGGCAGAGTTGGTCAAAATGATCCCCGAGAGAGAGAGGGGCCGTTTAGAGCATCCTCGCACTGGAGACTTTTCCATGAAGACGGGAGAAATTGGACAGGGGGCCCCGATTTCATTCCTCGCACCAGGGCCAGAGTGAAATTATTGCCTGGGTGCATAATTGACACTGGGTAATTCATTTTTAATTGCCTAGATTTTCATCAACTTTTCTCACTTCTTCCAAGATTGGCCAGCGTAAACCAATAGGCCAAATACCCTCTAGAGCTCCCTGTAGTGGAGGCCCTTCGTCCAGCAGTGACGTGAGCAAGCAATCCGCACGGCTGCACCTTTGACCAGAGCACATACCAAGCCTGCTTCACAAACAATCGCGGCCCGCGTACCTCTCTGTTGTACAAAAACACCGAGGGACACTATATATCACAGGACGAATAATATCTCACGTGGAGGAAATGCGCGTAAATGCATTGCTTTTTAGTGGTGCGTTAGAAGGCAACTGACAAAAACGAAACTGGGGCCCTTTTAACGTCCCGGGAAGACTTACAAGAGGTTTTGCGGGATAGCGACCTCGACGTGAAGACGACCCAGGACAATAACAACAACAACAACAACAAACCAACAAACAAAAATCACCAACCAGGACAGGTTGCCAAAGCCTAGCCATGCTCGCGGCGTTAACCGGTCGGGGTTCTCGGTCGGGACCTCTCGCAGGGCGCGCTTCCCTTCGACGACGACAACCTGCGGCAGCTGCTGGAGAAGGTGAAGCGTGGCGTGTTCCACATGCCGCACTTCATCCCCCCCGACTGCCAGAACCTCCTTCGGGGGATGATCGAGGTGGACACCAACAAGCGACTGACGGTGAGGGCCTCACGCGCAACTCCCCTTTCAGTCGGCCCGCTACCGCTCGGTGCGGTGCGTGCGTGCGTACGGCCGTCTGGAACGTTATTTCTGGTATTAGGAAGCCACTGCAGTAATGCGCTTGCAAATCATGTAGATTTAAAGATAATTTCTTTAGAAAGTGCTTTTTGTGTTGATCCCCCCCCCCCCCCCCTGTACGCACGCACCTACGATTAGCATGGTTGGTTATGTATGGTGCGAAAGAAGTTCAACATACCTTTGAACAAACAGTGCAGGTCAAACATTAACTAAAAAAGTCCAATTCACTGCTCATCTAAGCAAACCAAGCTGAAAAGTAGAGTGTCTACACTTGACGAGTCTTGCTCCAAGATGGCTTCCTGGCCCGGGTGTTGACCCACGTGATTATTGTTGTTATGTTGACAAATTCAATTAAATGTCAGAGATGAGAACTCGTAAAAGCACACCTTATTCCGCGTCTGTGGTTTTTTTAAATATCAGGTTTCCATGCGTGTGCAAGCAAGATTTTTCGAATTTATTTTCGCCTTTCGCTGGCTGTTTTTTTGTTCATCGAAAATAAGTAGCTTTGATTGTTGCCGGTGTCACCGCTTCATAAAGCGGCAACGATATTGGCCACACTTATCTGTGTTCCTCGACCTTCTGATAAACTAATGATACATAAATGTCGAGAGGGCTTTCGTTGGCAGTAATTCCCGCTATTTGGGGCTATCCATAAATGACGTCACGCACCTGGGGGGGGGGGTGTCAGACATTTGTGACGATCTGTGACGAGGGGGGAGGGGGGGGATTTGAGAAATGTGACGTCACATCAAAATGCGCAACTTTAAATAAATATAAACAACCCGTTTAATTGGGGGGGGGGGAGGGGCAGAGCATTGTGACGTCATTTGAGGGGGGGGGTTGACTTTTTGTGACGCCGTGTGACGAAGAGGGGGGGGGGGTCAAAAATCGTCCAAAATCGCGTGACGTCATTTATGAACGGCTCCTTTGCTTATGGCAGTGCTAATGTGGCCGCGTTTTGGTTTAAAAAAAAAAAACACCACCAGTGCGTGATGATAATAACGACGGAAATGTCGCCAAGAAAGTTTCCTCGCTGTCCGAGGAAAAATAGTCACCGTTATAAAAATCCAATAACCGTTATACTGGTCTTTTTAATAAAATATATATAATCACAAACAGAGATGTATCTTCTTGGATAAGGCTAACTCGCCAAAACATTGCGATGCCTTTCTTTTGTCTCGACAACGAAGAAAATAATCCTATTCGTAGCGTGTAACATTGCAGAAGCAGCAAAAAATAGAACATGCAGTGTTCATACTGTACGGGTGCGTGGGGAGCGGTGGCGCATTGCTTAGCACACTGCATTATGAACCTGACAACCTTAGGGTTTGATTTCCAGCCACAGTTAACGTCAGTGAACCTCGGTGGTTTAACGAACCACTCAAATCACTCCCGCTCCTCTTCGCCAAACTATATTGATCAGGGTGGTGGAGGTATGGTAAAAAATAAAAAACAACGGTGAACTTTGCGCATGAAACATTTCTTAAGCAATGAATTGAAAACGAACTTTAAATTATTACTTTATATACATTTCTATATATTCGTATTGCAAGGATAGTAAACACACACGGCAAGAGAATGTGAAAATAATACACAGACACTCGTGGCTTTAGCTTTAGCTTCATGTCGTAACCTCAAATGGGAAATGTAATTTATTAATGGTGTTTGCCACGTGATGCGTTACATACACCCGGCATTTGGCGTCTGGAATTGTGATGGAAATGTTTCTCTTTGTGTTTTTCAGCTGGAACAAGTTCAGAAACATTCCTGGTATCTTGTGTAAGTACAAAACAACAACTTGTGCACTCAGTAATTGCAGAATCGCAAGTGATTTCACTATTTCCTTACCTTGTTTATAAATGGATAATTGCATTTACAAAGCTGACATTTACGATTGTTTTACTCATTTGATTGTCACAGATCAGTAGTTTGTTCCTACAAAGATATGCGGGGTTAGTCTCGTTGTTCCAGGTTGCACATGACATGTGTAATGAACAAGTGATGTGGTTAAAAGCTACAAACCCATTCATCGGCATAGCGATGACTGTTGCTGATTTGAGAGACATGCCTATGTTTCTGATATATCTATTGTTGTATCATTACATGATAAGGTTGCGCTGATTACACACAAAGTGCTTGCCACGAATGAACCACAATACCATCCTGATCTCGTCAAATACCATAAACCATCGCGCAAACTCCGGTCATCTTCGCAGCGGCTTTTGGCTAACCATCGAACAAAGATGGTCACTGCATCGCGCACTTTCAGATGCGCTGCTGCTGCAGCTGTCTGGAACACTCTTCCTTCCGATATTAGGAAGCCACTGGCTTCAATCAAGATTGAAAACTCATTTCTTGAGAACTGCTTTTTGTGTTGAGTTTTTGTTGTCCTTCACCCAGACCTCCAATAAGCACGGTTGGCTACGTACGGTGAGAACAAAGTTGAAACTTGCACACGTGCATATCATGGCAAGTAATACGTTCTTATTATAAATAAAACAAATTCAAGCACATTGATATGGTTGCTGCTTTTGTAACAAAATCTGTAATTAAGCATTGGTCGATGCATGCTTTTGTTTCACCAGTTGAAAACTCCAAGAGACCAGGATAGTCTCAATCTTAATTTGAAGCTTTCGTGACTGCAGGAATCCATACTCTTTGGTTCTTGCGGTAAAGTCACGTAGGTATAAAATTAAATAACTCACGGCAGGATAGTCTCATTGGCAAGAATGACCTGGGGCATTAGTCTGCCAGTATGGTGCGACGGTTGCCGTGTATACTCCCAAATGCATCATTGTAGAGAACACACGCTGGTTAGAGACATAATTTTGACTGCAAAGAAAAGTAAGTGTTTCTAGATTTGAAGCTTTCGTGACTGCAAGGATTCATACTCTTAGGTTTTTTCCGGTAAAGTCACGTAGGTAAAAAATTTAAATTAATAAAAGTAAAATTAAACAAATAAAAAATTCACGACGTTTCGGAGGCAACACAAGCCTCCGTCTTCAGGTGGAACCGTCACAGCCACGACAGCTGTATCAAGTAAATGAGAGATTGCAAGAGCTACCACTCCGTATATATAATGGTTGGAGAGGGGGGAAGGGCCAAGTACGGCACACTTTTTATTAATATGGTAAGGTGAGGCTTAAGAGGGTGAGCCTTTGTTATGGAGAGGTGCGGTTTGTAACTCATAAAAAGTAAGTGTGCTTGGGCAGGACACTTTGCTACAAGGGACGATGGCCGGTGTGGCGAGAACAATGCGGCCAAGGCAGATAATATGCCCTCGTGACCATGCACTGTAGAGATGGAGTTATGGGATCAGCTCGTGCAGGTACCAAGTGGATCCTTACATCTCAAGACTGTGAGAGATGGAGGTGGCTTTCGGAGGCCTTTCTCCAGCAGCGGATTAATCACGGCTGATGATGATGATAATTGAGAGAAATAAAAGGAAGCTGTATGGACAGCAGGGGTTGGTGATGGGATGCAGGGAAGACGTTTAGCGCTCGGCATGTAACCTGTTGGAAAGTGGGAGCTTTACAAAACACAGCCGCAAGCTCCCAGCGGACCGCCTCATTGAGCTCCTTTCAAGGTCATGGGCGAACGCAGTAACTTGGCCAGGTTCATATGAGGCTGAGAACGACGGAGATTTGTGCACGACAGCCCTCCTGTCTGGAGGAGAGCACTGTTGCTGTCTGGTCACGGAGCGTGGCATGAAATCTGTGCTGCCCCTTCCATTTTATACGCTCTGGCCGTAAATTCTTTGTGACTCGCTTGGCAGTGCTCCGAGATTCTGTATCGTGGTGAGTCGCAGTTGATGTATAAATTGTTCCCTTTAGACGCGGCAGTGATATGCAACAGGCTTTATAAATGTTTGCCCTGGCTGGAGTGTCAAAATGGGCTCCGTGAAAAAGCCTGGACTTCCGTGTTGGTTGAGGTTTATATAAGTAATGTAAACAGTCTTAATGGGTTAGTTCTTATTTGACTGCAGTAGAGATTTAGTTATTTTCTTACATAAGCAAGTAGCTTTTTAACAAAAGATTGCATTGATTTAAAAAAAGCAAGAATAGTAACAAGTGTTTTTTTTTTCTTTGCTGCTCGGCTAGGCATTGTTAATGTTTGCAACATGTTTTGATCTGAAAGTAGAGCACCTCCAGCACTTTTCTGGAGGAATACAATTTGGAGCACATCAAAGAGCCATGGGAAGTCCCAGAGTAATTGGATGGCAAAGAATTTTTCCATCCAGACATTTATTTTGCATAAGCCACACAATGAAAATTGCATTGACAACAGACCCCATGAGTGCCACAAATACGCTGGTGACAAATTCCCATTCATCTTGGGCGCAATCAAATTATAGCGCATTTTTTTTTGACGTCTGGAAGAGAAAGCTGTCACCGACTGAATGTCCCACTTGCAGATGAAATGTGGCCTTAAGAGCTTATATAATAGGTCATTATTAAAAGCAAAAGGACTAATGCATGCTTAGAAACGTATTTTAAGGCATCTTTCATCTACGAGAACATTTTTCAGATGTACTCGTCGACGCAAGTGGCACCTGCCACCTTTCAGTACGTAGAGTATGGGCCAAATAGGGGGGCACACGTTGAAATTGCACGGTCTGCCTTTCTGCGGGGGTTGAAGCGCGGCCAGGTGGATAATTTTGAGCCACACCACTGACAGACAGACAAATGTATCCACTGTCTCTATCTTGCAAGTTTTTTTGCATCGATATTTTTTCGTGTCGCCCGTGTTGCAGACGTGGTTCACCTCTGTCTTAATTGCGCTGGGGACGTGTCTTGCAGTGACGAAGCGTTGATAATGTTGTGACCAATCGAAAGTGGCTTTGGTCGTATTCTTAGGTTTTTTTGGTAAAGTCGCGTATGAAAAAATGTAAAATCTCACTTGATACAGCTATCGTGCTGTGACGGTTCCACCTGAAGACGGAAGCTTGTGTTGCCTCCGAAACGTCGTGATTTTTATTTTATTTTTATTTTACTTTTATTAATTTTAATTTTTTACCTACGTGACTGTTCCGAAAAAACCTAAGAATATGAATCCTTGCAGTCACGAAAGCTTCAAATCTAGAATTGGCTTTGGTCGGTTGGCGAATCCCCACGACCAAATAAATGGGACCAGCATTTTGTTTTGCCAATGAGGGATCTCTCCTAGTTAACATACCAAAAAAGACTCCTGATGGTCTTTTAATGCGTGTGCACTGGTGCAAAATCATGAGAGTCATTTATGGGCCAATAGCCGAAGATAAGACATCATCAAGAGAAGTAAATACGGTATAATGAGATGTTTTTAATTGTTACAGTTTAAGTTGCAAATTTGCCCTTGGTGTGTTTTTTGACCTGTGTAAGCACTTGGTTTAATAGCGTGTAAAATACAATAAGTTTTTGTATTTATTTATGAACTTTGGCCAAATTATTATTTTAAATTGATACATTCTATTACGTTTTAATTATCAACCTTTACTGCATTTTAGTTTTTACTCTTGCAATCCCAATGAGAACAATAAGAAAATATCCATTTATTGTCAATATATATTTTCTATATATACACGTAATGGCCAAATGTGAGACCTAATTTTATGCCAGTAATATAAAACGAAATCAATAATGAAGTAAACCTTATGACTGTTTTTATTCTGTGTCTATATATACACAGTATACGCACCCCACACCAAAGACGCAAGTATCCTGTTGAGCCTTGTAGAACTATTGGGGCAAGGACTGTTAGCGAGGCACCTCTAGTATAGTACAGGGTGGTCCAGATGTCTTGTTTACCCCAAAATGAATTGACCCCTGACATATTTTTCTTTGTATATTGATGTATTTATTTTAAAAACCTTACTTCAAAGATATTAAGTATTAGACAATTAAATGGGCGTCACACGACATCGGGACCAACCTGTACAAGATGGTGGATCACGTGGCGAGTACCATGCCTGGCTGCCATTGCCGCCCCCCCGCATTGATATTCACACACCACATCCGGCACTCATTTAAGGCTGAGACGACTCGAGAGAGGCCCAGAGCCTTCTCAGACACTACTGGCCACTGTTGCCGACAAGTACTGCGGAGCGCGGCAAGCGAACCAGTGCACAATTGCTCCCCACATACGTATCTAATACGCTAGCTTCTTTGCCCGTCCTAGGACGGAAGCTGTAATAGTTACGATTTTTTTTTAGCAGAGAATGATTGTATATTGTGTAAATTTAATGGCAGTGAATTTTGCACAAAACGAAGTCATCAAACACATCACTGCATTTCACTGTAGCACTGTCTTAATGGCAGTGAATCTTGCACAAAACGAAGTCGTAAAACACTTCACTGCATTTCACTGTAGCACTGTATTAATGGCAGTGATTCTTGCAAAAACTGGCATAAAACACCTCACTTCATGTCACTGAGGCACTGTATATAATTGACCTTCAATTTGTTCAAATTCACTGCTCTGATACTTTATTCTCTTCTGCTTTCGGTCGCTGGGGTTGAAATAAATTGGAATTCGATACAATATCTGGAAAATCACCGAGGAATGTCCATTTTACCGTAACGTAGAAGCATAAATTAGACTTACCTTTTGCCTCAAGTGCTGAATAAATAAAAACACCAAATTCACTTTGTTGCTGCGTAGAATTATTTATTAGATTCACTTTCAATAAAGAAACGTCAAACTTAAAGCGAATTTGTGAGAAAAAAAGTCTTTCCGCTCGACCATAATGACGGAGGGGTGCGGCATGTGGAGTGACGTCACGCGCGTTACACACAAACAGA